GTGGCCACCCTTTAATGAACTGAAATATTAAGACCTTACGAAAAAAAAGAGTGGACAGACTAGACTACACCTACTACCCTTCTCGACAAGTTGTCCTTGGATGTAGAACGACACAATGTAGGAAACTCCCCTCCCCGGATGATTCTGTATCACAGAATCAATTGGAAGTAAGGAGGAGAGAGCTAGGATTCAAGAAGGGCAAAATCTACTGCCAACCCGGGATTATCAAATCAAGAGGCAGCCGGGTGGGATGTGCTTTCTCCAAAAGCATGTTTCACCTCTCTACTTTCTCTATCCACTTTGAGCCCCTCACCCCCATCCCACGGAGTCCCACCCTATATTCTACAACTCTCTACTTCTTGTCCCAAACTACCTTGACTGTCTCCAGACTGGCCCCTTCCAGCACTACAATGAGCCTACGGCCACCGATCTTGCTTCCTGCCCCGAGTCGGGGCCTCTTGGGCGCCGTAGCATCCCAGTCTTGTTCCCGCTGCCCACAGCTCAGCTCACGAGTCCGGAATCCAGCACTGGGCGCAGCCATCTTGAAACTGGACAGGAAACTGTGCTAACGCCCTTCATTTAGAAACCCCCACCATCCTAATTGCAAACGTCCTTCCGGCGGCCATTTTGAAAGTGGGCGCTTGGAAATGGCGACGGCTTGCGTCGCGCTACCCTCCCTGGGAGGGCAGGCTTACAGAAAGGGGTGGAACTTCCTGATGCGCAGTTCCTGTGCGCGAAGTTCAGGTCGACTGTGGGCAAAGGAGGAGGGCTCTGAAGGCAGCGCACTTCCGGTGCCCTTTCTCCCGCCAGCATTGCTGGCGGAGCCCTCGTGTGAAGGGTGAGGTCCCTAAACTGGAGCAGAGTAGAGGCGGGCCGGCACCCCCTTCTGAACTCTGGTGCCACCGGCCTCAGAATCAGATATGGCCCAGAATTTGAAAGACTTAGCGGGACGGCTGCCCGCCGGACCCCGGGGCATGGGCACGGCGCTGAAGCTGCTGTTGGGAGCTGGCGCCGTGGCCTACGGTGTCCGCGAATCCGTGTTCACCGGTGAGAAAACCGCCGCCTGCTCGTTGGACCCCTCTTTCCCCCGTCCAGACCTCGTGCCCTCTTTCGCCAGGTCCCCGCACTCACCAAGTCCCTCACTCCTCACTACCAGAGCCTAGCACTTTCAGCAGCGGCCTGGTCTGATCCCCACCCCTCTCCCCACAGTGGAAGGAGGGCAGAGAGCCATCTTCTTTAATCGGATCGGTGGCGTGCAGCAGGACACCATTCTGGCTGAGGGCCTTCACTTCAGGTAATGACCTACTGACTCTGACCCTTCACCCTTGACTCCATCCCACCAGTGGGTGTAGTAAGACTTGGACCAACATTCAGCGCTGTTCTTTCCCCCTCCCCTCCGCTCCCAGGACAGTTGGTGCTGCCCCTGACTTCTGTAGCACATAAACTGTTGCTATCCAAAGGGCAAAGAGAATCTCTTTTTGTACTGGTCATTATGAAGAGAAACAGGCAAAAAAACGTAGTGAGGGGAAACTAGCCAAAGTAAATGCAACTGCAGTCACCTGATATCTATCCCTGTCCTCTTCCCTCCAGGATCCCCTGGTTCCAGTACCCCATTATCTATGACATTCGGGCCAGACCTCGAAAAATCTCCTCCCCCACAGGTTCCAAAGGTAGGTCTGGGTGCTTGGTAGTCATTATGGCAGGTGAGATACCTAAAATAAACAAGGGAATCTGGCAGGAGACCTTAAGGAAAAGTGGTAGTGTCAGGTCTTTTAGACTTTGGTTTCCACGCTGCAAAAGAGCTATAACAAAAATACCTACCGCCTGTGATTAAAGCACTATATTGTGGACACATTGTCTTCATATGTTTTTATTAACCTCCTGTTCCTCTTTCCTAATGTATACTCAATGTATACATTGAGTGATGGTACGCACTGTAGAGCCTTCATATTCACTGCCTAGATCAAAACCTTGTTTTAGAGCCTTTTTTTTTTTCCTTCCCACTGCTTGACTTACTAATTACATCCAGTTATATCCACTAGTACACACTATTCTGGAGAAATTAGACTTAACTCTTAACAAATTCACCTGTTCCCTCTTTCTAGACCATACTTAGAAGCCATGCCCTTGAGATTCCCCATACCCCTTACTGGTCCACACACACACACGTACACAGTGAGGGATATAGCTTACCTTTAATGTACTTCTTTGTACTGGTTTTAGTGTAAATCACATATGCAGTCACTAATCCCTGAGCCTTGAGAATAAAAGATTCATAAAAATAAAATATAAGCCTTGTTCTCAAGTCCTTGTAGGAGATAGATGGTGATGGTACGCACTGTAGAGCCTTCATTAGAGATTGCAGAGTACTGTGGAGAAAAGCAGTCAGCCCTCCTAAAGGAGGGGTTGTGGGTAAAGAAGGCTTCACAATGGGTGTGGGTGTGTTTGATCTGTGCTATGTCACAGCTTTTTGTCAACTTCTGATTATTCCTCCC